CTGAACTGGGAGTACAGACTTGCCAGTAGTCTTTTGCTATTATGTCATTTTACTTTGTCCTGACTACACCCGTAGGAGGGAGGTACTATTATTGATGTCCATTTTACAAAAGAGGGGAGATAGGCTTAGAGATTCAATATGTGTTTCAAGCTCTTAGTACTAATAAGTAGAAAATCTATTCTCCAAAACTCATCGGTCTTTCTCTAGAATTTAAGCTCTTAACTATCAGAGGTTAGAGATGCTCAGAAAAAGTGGCTCTAATATTAGTGTTCCAGTCTAAGGAACATAGCAACAGTATCCAAAAATCACAATTATCTCTATTCTCATTCAAGATTATCATCTAAGATAGTGATTCGAAAAGTAACTGGGGGTTCCAACAGATAACTGAGCCTCAGTAAATGGCATTGCAACAGAAATTATCTGTAGTTGCTGGGGGGAAAATAAACAAACAAGAATCTCCTTTTTTTAAGTTGGGGACATGAAAACCTGATTTCATGAATTAGGGTCAGGGTGAAGATTTTGGTCCAGGTTGAAGTGAAATGGAAATGTAAGGAGTGGACACAAAACTCAGAGGGAAAAGGAACTACCCAGGTGATTTGACCATTGACTTGTCATCAGTCATCACCATAAAAATACACTATCACCATGAACATACTAAAAGGATGAACTTAGGATTCCAGCATTTAGCACCAAAGGCTTTAGAGTCCTGGCTAGGAAGGACAACTTTGTAAGAAATTCACGAGGAAGAGAATGGAAAGTCATATGTGTTTTTTGCCTCAAGTCAGGATTGGTCTACAACTAAGGTGCAAGTTAGGCTGAAATGGAACATATTAGTGATCTATCAAGATAAAAATAAAGAATTTAGCAATGAAGAATCTCACTTTCACTGGGGACAGACATTGTTCCAAATCTAAGGGGAGGGGGGAAATCAATAAAAATATAACATCTTCCATTTGGGACATTTGGTTCTGTCCAAATCTTCATGAAGACATGCCATTCATTCCAAAAGGTCCTTGAAATGTGGTCTTGTCCAACATGTACATGAGCATATTTGGGCCATACCAAATTAGTGCTATTTGGTTCTTCCCAAAATATTTACACTTATAAAACCTCACTAGGTTCAAATAGCCTGCAACATTTATTTAACCCTTTGGTTTATAGATTAATACCTTTAAAAATACTGTACTATCATGTCTTTTTGGTCCAATAATTGTGTTGTGGCTGTATTGCTAATAAAAGCTCTCTTCTTGCCTCTGTACCTTAGCTAGTAATGGCACATGGGGTTAGATAGATGGGTCAGCTTGGACCAAAAGTCTCCATGGACATTTTGGACCATATTTCAAGGACCTTTTGGCATGGACCAAATGTCTCCATAAATGTTTCAGACAGAACCAAATGTCCACTAATCTAGTATCCCAGCAATACATCCATTCACCAATCATTCATTCATCCATTCAATTACTAATTACTGAATGTCTGCTCTTTGCCTGGTATTATGCTAAGTCCTCCACATTCAGAAAAAGAACACAACAAACCTGATTTCTGCCTTTATTGGACTTACTAACAAAATAACACTAGAGAACATTTTCAACAATGGAGTGATTGATGGATCACAGAGAACACGGGCATCCGTGGACTGGCTGTTTAAGTGCAGGGGTGTCCCTTGCTATAAATAATGCAATAAAAATGTATAGCAGAGATACACAATCTTGCTTAGGGGAATAGTAAAGTCCTCCCAGAGGAAGAGCCATGGAAGCAGAGACCTTGATTTGGAGAGAGGGGAGGAAGGAAGTGTTAAAAAGTTCCAGTTAGAATAAATAGCCTGTGCAAAAGCCTGGAACTGACACAGCACACTGAAAAAGCTAGAAGAAGGCTGGGGTGGCTGGGGTTTGACCAGAATAGCATCTCACCTCTGTGACCTTAGAGGCAGGAGAGAATTTCTTAGAGGCAGAACATAGGGTATGGTTTGTGCGGGTGTCTTAGGAAGTGTCTCTGAAGTGGCTACATTGTGGGTCATGGAAACCTTTTTCTACTGCTCTACTGCCTTTTCTGGCTTTGTACTAAACACAAAGGGTGACAACATAAAGGGGGCTCTTCTTACATCTTGAAAACCTCATCTTCTCCACAGCAGGAGTTCTCGAGTGGCCCCATGATGGTATTTGTAGAGCAGTGGTAACTATGCCCTTGTGGGGAGTCATCTATTAGCAATGGGAGTTATTTCTGTGTCAGTTCCTCAGATCAGAGGCAGCTGGGCAGCCAGGATCCACATGGCCTGGTCCAGGTCATCATGAGGCTGATGAAAAGGGGGGTGGGGCTCTGCCAGCTATAAGACGTAGTACGGAGGAGCCAAAGGATGTATTTTAAGCTACTTTAAAGTCTGTGGATGTTATTTGCTCCTTTGAAGCTCATTATGGCACTGAGCTAACCGTTTAGTAATCCCACTGAAGTCGAATACCAAAGAGCAGTAATTTGCCAGCTAATTTAAGCATCCCGTTTTGCTGAAACCCACCTCTTATAAAACAATGGAATACCATATACCTATATTTCTCCCACATTTATATTTAGAAGTATTTAGGTTGGGATTTTTACTTGTGTATTTATGTACAGGAATGATGTTGTAATTTTGATAGAGTAACTACCAACCCCATGTAGGTAGCATAATTAAATGCTCAGGCTATTTCATTTATTCAATAAATATTTGCTGATTTCAAATATCTGTGTGGCACACTTCTACATACCGAAGCTCAGTGAGGAAAAAGATACACAAAGTTTTTAATCATGTGGGGTCTGTAATCTAAAGAGTTTAGATAACCTGGGAACTAAGAAAAAGGGGGAAAAAGAAGTAGAAAGAAAATATGTAAAAACAAGGGAAGGAAGGAAGGCATAAAGAAGGGAGGATGGATATTTCCAGTGTTAAATAGTAGGGAAATTGAAAAAATAATTAGATAAATTATACTTGCCATGTGTTTGATTAATTGGTGCTATGTAGCACACTACTCAAAACTTAGTGGCTTAAAACAACATTGTGTTTTATTATTTTTTGTTAGTTGAAATTTCCAGGAAGATTCAGCTAGGTGATTTTTCTGTGACCCACACCATAGCTACTGGGCCAAGAAGATCCACTTCACAGAGCCTCTCTTCTCTCTCTTTTCCCCTTACCTCCCTTCTCCCCTCTCCTTTCTCCTTTTTCTTTCCACACAGTCTGTCCTGTGGCTGGGGCTTCTTACAGTATGGTTATCAGAGGGGGATACACTAATGACATGACAACTTGCTTCTAAGTGTGAGTGAAAATTGCAGGTTTCTAAGGCCAGAGCTTAGAGCATCACCTCTGCCCTATCCTCTTTATGTGAGCAGCACAGAACCCACCCAAACTCAGGGAGTTGCGGCATGGATTCCACCTCTCAATGGCAGAAGTGCCAAAGCATGCATGGCCACCTCTAATCGACCACAGAGTCCCTGCCATGAGGTTGAATGATCAAGGATACCTTTCCTCAGGAGGCAACATTTGAACTGAGTCCTGGATGATAAAAAGAAAAAAAAACACACACACAAAAGAAACTAAAATGTTAACTTCTGAAAGCATACTACGCTAGGCAGAGGAAATAGCAGTACAAAACCCTGAGGCATAAATGATTGATGTAGTTGAGAAAAGCATGAAGGCTAGTGTAGCTGGAGCTTAAAGACTGAGGCAGACACTTTAAGGAGATGAGACAGGAAAAGTAGAGTCAATTGGCCATATGCAGGAATTTGAATGCTATTATTATGAGGGAAGGCATTGTAAACTTTTGAAATTGGCACAGGGTATTTTATATATTTAAAATATAAAGATTCAAAAATAACAAGTGGAAGGGAAGTTTAGAGGCTATCACAGTAATCCAAGTATAAGACAACGATGATGACCTAGACTAACTTAGATGCAGTGGAGACATAGGTTTGGGTATAAGTTTGGGACAGGTGCAAGTGTAGGTATAGATATAAATATAGATGTACAAATAGATTTAGAGAGAAACCTATGTAGTTTTAGATTTAAGTTGAGATGGAGATTTACATAAATATATATAGAAATAGAATAACTTTATGGGTTTAGAGATTAAGATATACACACAGAAATTGATATAGAAATAGATGTAGATTTGAAAATTATGTGTTTGTGTTTAGATACAAATACAGATAGATATCAGCTTAGAAATAAATATGGGTTAGATATACAGACACAAGCACAGATAAAGATACATTGGAGGCAGATGTAGAATCTGTTAATGAATTGGGTAACAGAGTGAAGATACAAAAGAACTCAAGGATGACTTGAGCAACTAGATACAGACTGATGCTGTTTTCTGAGTCAGAAGACTGGTTTATGGAAATTATTTCACTAAGGTAAAATAGTCCAAGAAATCAGAAGTGTTTATGGGGAAAATACTACATAAGTATTTACTGGTTTATGGAAATTATTCCACTAATAAGATAAAATAGCCTAAGAAATCAGAAGTGTTTATGGGGAAAATATCACATCTGAGTAGGTATTTACTGTTTCCCCCCCCCCCCCCCCCCCCGCCTCTTCTCTCTCTCAAGAATTCCCTTCTTTGCCTCTTTCTTCCCCATAACGTTTCTCGCGGGTACAGCATTGTGATTGGAAAGCATCAGACTTTGGAGCAAGAGTGGCCCGCCTTTAAACAGGCGTGGCCACGCACAAGCTGTGGACCTTGGGCAAATGTGCTCACTTTTCTTTTTCTTTTTCTTTTTTCTGGAAAAGTGGGTCAGTCTTTATTGGTGAGCAGGCAGACAGGTGGGGGTAAGGGCTCCCATGAGAGTCAGAATGCTCTGGAGGAAGAAGCCTCAGGCCCAGTCGGGGAGGGGGTTTCCTCAGTCACCATGGGCACAGGTGGGAATGGAACTCCTGCTCCAGGATGGTCACCCAGACCTGCGGTAATGGGACAATACTGGCTTGGGGCCGGCAGGGTGCCAGGCATTGTGACCTGGCACCCTGCCGGGTTGCTCTCTCAGTTGGCATCTCTCTTGTCTTTGTCATTCATGAGGTGCCCACTGCCCTTTGGTGGAGCGGAGTCTGTATCTTCCTCACGCACGACCTCATGTGGCTTCCGACACTTCTCGAAGGCCACGATGATGGTGACCAGCACGACCACCTCGGTCAGGATGCCCAGGAAGGGCCAAAAGGCAATGAAGCGGCTGCGGAGGCGCAGCGTGATGAAGGCCCCGACCTTGCCCTCGGAGTTGGTGCCATAGCAGGCGTACTGGCCAGGATCCTTCTTCAGGTTGAGCTTATGGATGTGCAACTCCGTACGGGTCTCTGAGAACACCACGAACTTCTTGTGGGACTTGTTGTTGAGAGGCAGGTCGCCGGTGTCGGTGATCTTGTACCACTCCCACTGGGTGACCGGGGGGAAGGACCGGGACTCGCACACCAGCACCGCCCGCTCCCCTTCGATGCCCATCACGGACTCGGTCACGGCCTGCACGTTGGGGCGCACTTTCACGCTTACCCTGGCCATCCTGCCAGTGGGCTCCGAGAGGAAGGTGCAGGAGTACTGTCCCGAGCGCTCGCCGGGGTCTATCTCGTACTCGGTGGACAGGCCCGGCTGCGAGTCCTCCCGGAGCAGCTGGTCCCCCTTCATCCAGCGGTGCCCCAGGATGGCCGTGTCGCTGGAGTTGAGGGTGCAGGTGAGGAGTGTCTTGGAGCCGTCGTCAAAGATGTAAGTGGAGATGTTGCTCCCCGCCCCAGAGCCGCTCTCGATGCCCAGCAGGGTGAACACCAGAACCACAAGTAATGCTGCGGCCATGTCCATGTTGCCGTCCTGGTCCCTGTGGCCAACCGCCACCCCGTGCCTGCCATCCGCCATCTGCCTCCACCACCTGCCACCCGCGGGGCTCTAAGAACCTGGAAGGCGGGGCGGGAGCGGGTGCACAGAGAGGGGTACGCATGGGCCCAATGGTCATCCTCTCTGCTCACTTCTTTAAGCTTCGGTTTCTTTGACCTCAAATATGAATTATCTATGTCACGGGGCTGCTCTGAATGTTCAAAGTAAAACAAATAAAAATAAACTACAGGATGCATTCAGCAAGATGTTTAGTAGCAAGTAGGGCTCAAGAGATGTTAATCTGCCAAAACCGGTTTGGCTCAGTGGATAGAGCATCGGTCTGCGGACTGAAAGGTCCCAGGTTCAGTTCCGATCAAGGACATGTACATTGGTCGGTGGGGGGTGTGGAAGATGCTGGTTGATGTTTCTCTCTCATTGATGTTTCTAGCTCTCTATCCCTCTCCCTTTCTCTCTGTAAAAAATCAATTAAAAATTATATATATATATATATATATATATATATATATATATATATATTAAAAAAAAAAAGAGAAGAAATGTTAATCTCCCTTTCCTTATATTTTAGTCCAGTGGTCGGCAAACTCATTAGTCAACAGAGCCAAATATCAACAGTACAATGATTGACATTTCTATTGAGAGCCAAAATGTTTAAACTTTAAACTTCTTATAACTCCACTTCTTCAAAATAGACTTGCCCAGGCCGTAATATTTTTGTGGAAGAGCCACACTCAAGGAGCCAAAGAGCTGCATGTGGCTCACGAGTGCAGTTTGCCAACCACGGTTCTAGCCTTTCAAAAGGCTACTTGAGGGTCAAGACCAAACCTTGCTTAACTCCTTTATAATTTTTTTTCAATCATCTCCATTCCTTATGGCATTGTTTCAAAATTATTTCTGTCAAGCTAATGCAAGTCCCCAATTAAACTGTAATTGCCTTGAAGGCAGCCATTCACTCTGACTCATCCTCTTTTTCCATAACATGCAGCCCAGTGCTGAGTACTCCATAAGTACTATAAAAATCATTGTTGATTGATTCTTTTTTTTGTTTCTTTTGATGAATTAAGTAATTCTTCAATATTGAAAGTCCGGTGAAAAGCTGACTCTAAAACAGTATTTAATATATGAAGTCCCATGTTTATTTGTGCATTGTTGAACTAAATAAGAAAGGGACTTTAATTATTTTCTTATTATTTTCAGGTAGTTCTCATATTCAGTAGAATGTTATAAATGTGAAAACAAAGGTCTTTGTAATGATGATTTTTCCCCATGAAGTTGACTGAAAGGTTGTCAATATCTACAAAGTACGTTGATGTGTCAGTCTCAAGTGAAATGTATTATATTACAATATTTGTAAATGCTAAAAGCATTGCTTGATACCCTTGGTTAAAATTTACCTTTGAGAATTTAACCTTCTGAGACAGATATTTTACATTATATTTTAAAGTATATTTGTTACAAATGGTTTTTCTTAATTCAAAATGTGATTCCTAGATAAAATTTCACATTAATGTAATATCTTGCTTTCCTCTGTGTACATGAAATTGTTCTCTTACATGGATTATAAAGGCATATTCACACATCTGAAATATTTCCTGTTACTAAAAAAATTATGACCATTCAGGATAAGATTGTCTCCATTTCTGATCAAATATAATCACTGATATCTTTGTCAAACCATTTTAATGTGAAGGGAATTATATTTTTGGTAGATACTTTACCATGTGTTTTTAAAATTTCATCTCTATGATTTGAGAACATTTATTTTTAAGAACTACCTCTCATTTTACTTCATTATTGCTTTCCTAATAGCTTATTGATCTTGGCATTCAATAATTTCTACCTTGAATGTTTTAGTGAAATAATAACCCCCAATTTAATAACATAATATCATATAATATATTTCAAATAATATATGGACTAATGAGATCTCCTTACTACACCACTTAAATGTTATTTTTGGTATATCACTTTTATCAGAGTAAAACACTGAGTATTATATAACAAATGCTGCATAAAAACACAACAAAAAGACTATGAACTAAGAAATATTAAGCCAATTCTTTCCCTAGTGCAAATATAACATCTTAATAGATGCTAGAATGTGGGCTATTCCACTACTGAAACATTGGCACAAAATCTATGCCCCCAAAATGGATGACTCAATAAGTAAATAAAATGCCTCAAATGCAAAAGATATTTTATTTTTCATTGAAGTGATGTGGATAATAAGCTGGACCTTTCTTTCTTTTATAGCCTCACACCAGATTACCTCTTGCCTTGCTCAGGATGCTCTAGAGCAATGGTTCTCAACCTTTGTAATGCCACAACCCTTTAATACAATTCCTCATGTTGTGGTGACCCCCAACCATAAAATTATTTTTGTTGCTACTTCATAACTGTAATTTTGCTACTGTTAATGAATCATAATATAAATATCTGTGCTTTTCAATAGTCTTAGACTCCACCACAGCAGTTCTCAACCTGTGGGTCACAACCTCTACTGTAGAGCCTTAGACCATCAGAACCCACACGATGAGAACCACCAGCAGGGTCACCTAAGACCATCGGAAAACACAAACATTTACATTATGATTCGTAACAGTAGCAAAACTACAGTTATAAAGTAGCAGCACAAGTAATATTTTGTCTGGTGGTCACAACAACATGAGGAACTGTATTAAAGGGTCGCGGCATTACAAAGGTTGAGAACCACTTCTCTAGATGCATTGGCCCTCTCAGATTCCTTTAACACATGTGTCTCTCTTAGCTAGGACATTTGAACCTCGCATTTCCTCTACCCTCAACATTTTCCAAACAATCTTCACTATTTACTTCATCCTTCAGTTTAAATTTCATCTCTGCAGTCAGACTTTCTCTAGCTATTTGAAGGATGACTTGCTGTATTCATAGAGCTTCATCTCATAGAGCGTCTTCTTTCCTTCAGAGTGCTTACCCCAATAGTTTATTTTCTCTTCTTTTCACCAGAATAGGAGCTCCATAAGCACAGGGAATATGTCTGGAAAATGAGTCATTGCTGTGAATCTATACTTTTTTAGCAAGCCCTCTGGATTTTATTAAACAGTCAAAATTGAGAAATAATGCTATATAAGCCCCTTCAAAATCTGATAGTTGCCCAGTATTTACTTTACAAGCTATTGATATATAGCCGTCACCAATATTGAACATCATGTCTTTCATTTTGTTGGATGAGTGAATAAACTTGTTAAGATGATATTCTAATCCAGGATCTTGGTTCTGACTCCAAATGTCATGGATTTATCACACATTGGTCTGGGTAATGGAAAAATAAAAGGAGAGTGCATTGGAAAGGCAGAATTTAGTGCCATGTCCTTAAAAGCTGATGATGGGGTCTTAGAGACCTATCACTTACTCTATTTCCATAGTTAAGTGCATGATTCATTATACATATAGAAAAATGTGTTGACCATCCACTATGTATCAGACATTTCATAAGCTACAGAAAGATATGTTTAAGACATGGAATTTGTTGGTGAACTTACAATAGATATGTGACAATAGAAGTCCAATTACATTGAATTCCAATATGTGTGAAATAAAAATACAGGTATCTATAATATTTAATTTCTCATCTACAAAATGAATACAGTAATACCTCCCTTGAAAGGTTGACATAAGTATTAAATGAGATCACAGTCTTCTAACACAATATCTAGAACAGACTAAATCCCCAAAATATTTGAAGGAGCACATTTTTTTGGCAGCATTTTTAATGCAAGTCCAGAAATTCCATATAAATTTGGTAGAATTTAATTCACTTGAATGAATTAAAAGCAAAAAATTCCATTAATTAATATAGTAAAGATGGTGACTCATTATCTCAAATATTTATTAATGACAAAGACACAATATAATGCTATTGAGGATAAGGATTTATAAAATAAATATAAATAAAATATATGAAAAGGTTAATTTATATTATGTGGGGCAAAATGATGTCCTTATTCAAGGCTGATATAATGTAATCAGTTTACACTCATGAGCCAATTCTGTACACCAGTCCAGCATTACTACCATGAGGTTCATTATTTTGTATTGCCAAAAAGAGAAAATTATAAGACAAGTCATCATTTGTTAGCTAATTAATACACTCTGCTCAGAGTTTTGAATGAATTCAATGTATGAACCATGGCATTATGAACGTTACATGTATTTTTACTTAAACTTTGCAATCATTAAGTGGAAGAGGGTTTCTACTTCTCTTTGCAGAAGAGAAATGGATGTTCAGTGACCTTAAGAGTGTTGTCCAGGACTTACAGCTATTTAGCAATAGTACGTGAACTTAGTCTCTGACTTTAACTCTAAACAAACTAGAATGTCCATTTGTCTTTCTGTCAGTGACTCCACTCTAGGAATCAAGGCACTGAGTTACCATCATGATTCAACCTACATAATGAATATCTATTGATTATGTACTATGGTCATAGTATTCTAAAATAATCTGTGTAAATTCATGTGTATAGGACATTGTTCTTTGCTCACTCAAAGATGAATGAAATAATGATGCACACTTTCAAAGGATTTGCTATCATTGGTTAGGACCTAGGAATCCTATATAATAAAAGAATAATGGGAGCTCCCCCCTTGTGGTCAGTGAGCTCCCACAGGGGGATTGCTGCTCAGCCAGAAGCCCAGAAGCTTGGCTTATGGCTGGCTAGCACAGTGGCAATGCTGGGAGGCTCTCCAGCCTCCAAGGCAGCACTAAGGATATTCCATTGATGACTCCCAGATTATGAGAGAGTGCAGGCTTAGTTGAGGGACGTCCCTCTCCCTGAGTGCACAAATCTTGTGCACTGGGCCTCTAGTAGTACATACAATGTAATAAAATTTGTATGTCTATAAACTTCAACAATTTGGAGTCTGGAGACTGTATCCACATTTGGGTCCAACTTCATTCTTAAACATTGCCTTGTGCAAAGTTGGCATGCAATACTATTTATAAGGAGGAAAAAAATCGTAAGGATAATGAATTCCTGTGATAACTA